GCCTCGCCCCTGGGGCCGGACCCCCGCCGCCGCCGCGGCTGGTCGGGTGCCAAGGGAAGTGCCCGAGCCAGGAAGTGAGCGCCCATCTGCAGCGAGGCCGGGGCTGGAGAGGGGCTCATCACTTCTGGAGATGGCTGGAGCGCCGGCCTGCTGCTCTGTCCTCCCGAGAAGAAAGGGGGCAAAAGCCGAGTCCGGCGGGGCCCGCTGAGTGACAGAGCGCGGCTGAGAAAAAGGACTAAATATATCCTCTAAAAAAAGAGCACGGCTATTTAGTCAACTCAAGACTTCCCCCCCCACCCCACCGCCCCTGCATCCAAAGACCGGAGGAGAGGAGCACGTTGTTTCATGTGTCATTTGCAAAGCAGAATTGAAAGGACACCCTTTTGCTTCCGAAACCCAGCCCAGGAGCAGCCCTGGGGCGACCGGTATTAACATCGACGCCTTTTCTATCCTATGGATATCAGCGGTGAGATTCTGCCCCGGGAAGAAGAGATCTGTACTTGATCCAGCACCATATCATTTCAATGCCTCATCTTGCCCAGGATTGCCGGAGCATCCTAGGGATTGTATACACGTTGTATGCCATGGGCTGTATTCAGAGCATTAGCTGCAAATCCAAAGTTTTCCGGGAAAGCATTGCAGTGATCGAAGTCAAAGCCTCCATCGACCCCGTCCCCACCAACATTGACGAGTCGTCCAGCGTGGTTCTGCGGTACCGGACGCCCCACTTCCGAGCCTCTGCCCAGGTGCTGATACCTCCTATCCCCAAGAAAGAGACCTGGATTGTAGGCTGGATTCAGGCGTGCAGCCACATGGAGTTTTACAATCATTATGGAGAGCAGGGCATGTAAGTATTTCCAGTGACAGAGAGAGAGCGTGCATGCGAGTGGGGGGTTGAGGAGAGAGTGGTGGGGAGGAGACCGCATTTAACCCATGCAGGTTTAGTTTTGGCACTTCTGAAATGAAAACAGCACTTGTTCCCTTTAGAGAGAGAGAAAGAGAAGGACCTGCCACCAAAGGCAGCAGGCGTTGTGCTGCTGCCTGCAGTGGGAACGAAGGCAGGCCCTGGCATCGGGCTGGCGAGCCAGGCAAAGCCATGCCAAGCTGATCAAGGCAACACAGGGCATCCAGCCCCACGGCAACTCCTGACATCAGGAGTCCTCCCTGCCAGCAAGGGCCTAGCCCGCTACCTCCCCTGGTCTGTGCTCACTTTCCATACTTTAATGGGAGGGGGGCATGCTTTCTTTTAAAGGATGCAAGGGGGGTTGCTTTTTGACAAATCGGCGTGCCAGCGAATGCAGACACTTGTAGCATTCGGCTGTGGGAAGCCGAGGAGGGCTCGGCGTTACTCCGGCAGCAAATGCGATCTAGCGTGATGTGCTGGATCCTGCTGGCTTTGCCTTGCTGCAGTGGCCTGCTTGCAGGGTCGAGAGCAGCAGGATCCGGCCCCCTAGCTATTCCTGGGAGGGAGCGGGGGGCAGGGGAGGGTGTTTAACCTTTCTGTAACCTTGGGCTGAGGTTAAACACTGACATCCTCCCCGCTTGTGCTCCCTCTAAGAGCAGGAAATGAGACGTGCTGGAGAAGGAGGGCAGAGGGGAAGAAACAGGTCACCCCCATGCCATGATGTTGGTGGACAGAGAGCTCACCCAAAACAAAAGTCCCATTCAAATGCCACCACCTGGCGGGAAGGGCATTTTTGCACCCCTCCCCTGAGCGTTCCAGGCCTAAGCTCAGCAGTAGGCTGAGGCTCCAGCATCTGATCACATAGCTCACTCAGGTGATGCGTGGCTCATGGCGCCCGATTGTGACTAGTAGCAGCCTCGTGGGGCAGCGGAAGTCTTTCCGCCCGAGAGCCGGCTGCTTTGGAAGGCGGCGTTAGGCTTCAGAGCAGCAGATGGGCTGGTGGCTGGACACGCTGGTGCTGCCCGGGCCCCGGGTGAGAAAGGATGAAAAGGTCACGTCGGAGCAAGACTGGCTTGCTCATTGCCCAGCTGTGGGCGAGGAACGCAGGCCAGTGGCAAGAGGGGGGGCGGGGAGGAAGATGGAAACGTAGCATAGAGCTAGGGAGTAAATAAATGCCGTGACTTAATACAGAGCTACACCCTCTGCTATGCTCAGCCTCCCAGTAACCTCCCCCCAGCCCCTTCTAGCAAGCTGCACACAGCCCTTGCTCACACAGGTGCCACAACTTGACATCTCAGATAGCGTGAGCACGTATCTGCAGGCCCGTGCCATGGGGCAGGCAAATGCCAAGGAGCTAGCACAAGTGACAGACTGTTCCCATCTCCTGCCTTTTTTCCTCGCTCAGCTCCTCACTTGCAGCAGAAAGTGCCTTGGGAGTGAAAACTTTAGCACCTCTCAGCTGAGCCACAGCCAGAGCCAGAGCCAGATCAGGGCGGGGGAGGAGGGGGAATGGATACGACGGATTCGTTTTCAGAGCACCCAGAATGGGCGCAGAGCTGGTTTGGTCAGGATGCGTGCTGTCGCACGGGGTTTTGCCTGGGCAGAGACAGCAGAGGAGGGCCCAGCAGCAAGAGAACAAGGAGGGAGAGATACTCAGGAGCCTTAGGTGCCCAGGGGCGCCCAACTTCCTTAGGCTAAGCGTGAAAAATCCCAAAAGCAGGAAAACCCACCGGTGCACGCACGCGCCATTGGGTACTCGCTCAGGAAAGCAGAGGAGACCGGGTGGAAGAGTTCTGCTCCCAATTCCCCCGTCAACTCACCGCGCGAGCTTGGGCAAGTCACGCAGCTGCCCCATGCCTCAGTTTCCCCCTTCCTGTGAAAGCACTTGGAGAGCTAGAGGAACGGTTCTCCGTAAGAGCCGAGGGTTATCATCAGAGCCACCTGGATTAAGCTTGGGGCACTTCTGAGGAACAATGCACTGTCAATCAGGACGCCACGTCTATTTAGCGATGCAATGGATATTCAGAAGCGCCTCAAGAGTCTGTCTGGTGGGGTCAGCCACAGTTAACTGATTCTTTTTTAAAACCATTGAAACACAATTTGCAAATCAGTTCTCTCTATTCCTCAGGGGATTAAAAAAGACATCTTCTAATACATTAGCCTATTATGTCATGCATTAAATACATTAGATTATTAGACTGGGAGAGCTTTTTTGGGGGTACAAACCCCTATATACAGAGAGGGAGGTGGCACAGACATCTGACTGAGAGACAGGCCAGATCCTTGGGTGGGGTAAATTGACTGCTATGGAGTTGCATTGATTTACACCAACTGACTCTCTGGCCTGAGTAATTCTCCCTGCTGGAGAGGGACAGCAGGAATAAGCTGTTGCAACAGACCATTAAAACAGGTTGCGATAACGCGGCATTAAAAAAAAAAGAAAAAAGTGGCCATCAGCTGGAGCAGGCGACTTCTCCCAGGCCCTGAGGGATTTCTGCTTTTAAACTGCTTTGCTGTTCTGAAATGGTTTGTTACATCCAAGCTGCCCGTTGTGCCGAGGCCAGAAACTCGGGAGCAGATGGATCCCTACATACCGTCAGGAATAGATGGACGCGAGATGCATAGGGAATTGCTCCAAACACACACACACACACACAAAGGGACAACCCCCCAGTTGCTGGGGGGTAGGGTTACATGCCAATTTTTTAAAGGTTTTACCCCCACCCCCTACAAAAAAAAAATGATTTGGAAAAAACTTAAAGACACAAAGCTGCTTTTGCTTTGGCGTCTCCCTGCAGAACCAGAAGCCACAGTACACGAGACCTGGGAGGCAGAATAGCTGCTGGCCCCATCCTGTGACACCTTTGTGGGTAGGACTCCTGCTGGTTAAGGCAGGGCCCAACTCAGGTATCATTTCTCCCGGTGCCTGGTCCTTCATCCCTCAGATGCCCCCACTGACTGCAGTGAAGAGAAATACTACTCAACAGTAGGGATCAGGAACAGGCTGCGGAAGTCTGGCCTGTGCAAAGCGTGGGGTTTAGTTAGCATGCGGGCTCCTTAGGATGGGGACAGTCTCTGTGCTGTCTGAACAGTGATGGGACCATTCCTCTAGAGATGGACAATGCACTAACAGTGTCCCACTCTCCCCATGGCAAAGTGCAAGAAGCAGTGCAGATGGCAATAAAGCAGAGAGCGTAAACTAAATTAGGCTTCTCAGATCCTTGGTTAGGAACCGGGAGAAGTTTTCTCTCCGAGACCCACTGATGAAAAGCTCTGCATAAGAGCTAGGCATTACTGCAATGTCTCTTTAGGGTGCAGGACATCTTTCTTTCAAAAGATTGCATCTTCCAGGTCCTACAGCAG